TAGCCTGTATGCACTGGAATATTCTCGAAAATCAGATACAGAATATCAAAAAAAACAATTATTTCTTGATAGTGCAATTTTTTGCGCTATTTGGGACCTAATTATCACATGATTTTGGGACCTAATTATCACATGATTTGCTTCTCTATACTGTAATTGCTACATTGATAACCAGAAAACAATGGAATAGAAAGACGTCATTAGAGCAGGTCCAAAAAAGTTACAACGAAATAAAAGTTGTTACCCATCAGTAAATGCAACAAAATATATATTATTTATTTCAAAATTGAATTTGAAATATTTGAAATGAATGTTCATATTTTTTTTATTTTCAAGGATGATTTGAAAGATGGCAGTTAAAACATTTTTAAACAATATCAATTTTCGTAAAGTATATACATACTTAGATACATGACAGTTGGTGAATAATTTTGAATATCTTCTTCTGCATTTACAGTATTAGATATTGAAGATTTTTTGTGCAGTTTATTTAGTTATAAAGTCTTTTACTAAAATATATTATACTTTAAAATCAATTTTACTGTAATACTACTGTCATATACTATTTTTTATTAGTCTCTTTAGTATCAAACAACTTAAAAAATTATGGAAGAAGACATTTCAAACTATTTACCAACTGTCATGTTTGTGGGACACCCTGTATGTAGAGTAGTTACGTACTTAAAGGGACTGTTCGCGTAATTTCACTTGATCCTCCATACAAAGATGACAATGCCCGATTCACAACGGTACCCCGAACCCTTGTCTGATATTCCACATTATCAGATAAAGGTTTCAAGGGTACCGTTGTGAATCGTAGATTGTCATCTGTGCCCGGAGAGTCACTTTAAACTACGCTTACAGTCCCTTTAAAGTAAAAGTACTTGAGGTTAAAGGAAGCGTTTTACTTGGTTTAATTAAACATATTCTAGGACTTCTTGATTCTGATTAAAATTCATTTCTTCCGAATTTAATAAGACACATTTTCTTTCAAATTTAATTTCTTTTTATTTTAAACTTCTCAGTATTTTTTTATTAAAATTCAAAGAAAGTTTTGTACCAGGATATATTTTTAGGACTTTTTCCATTGAACTTTTTATTAAAGTCTCATCCTTTGCTGGCAACCGGCTCTCTGTCAGATATTTCGTCATAATTTGTGTGTGTTTTCACAATACCCCGTTCCATTGCATGTGCTTATCCCCATGTGATACAGTGAAACTGTTCCGTAATATTGGGAACACATGATACTATTTAAAGTAATAATAAATAAATGTACAAAGGTCCGACTGAATGATAAATGTCTGGCGCACATGTTGGAATCTTCGTTACTAGCGAGAATCTAAAAACTATAAATTTTGTAAAAAAACATATTTCTACTCTAAGCTTTCATGGGATTGCAGTTATATATGCGTGCAGTTTGTAAAATGTTTATAAAGTTTTAAAAAAGTTTTAAAAAAGCACTTGATCTTGAAATGGGCTTGGTACTTCAGGGGACAGGGCTTGAACTTGTTAGAGGGCAGGGCTTATTCTTATCAGAGAACAGGGCTTGGTCTTATTAGAGAACAGGGCTTATTCTTATCAGAGAACAGGGCTTATTCTTATCAGAGAACAGGGCTTATTTTTATCAGAGAACAGGGCTTATTCTTATTCGAGAACAGGGATTAAACTTATAAGAGAACAGGGTTTGGACTAATAAAAGAACAAAGCTTATTCTTATAAGTGAACAGAGCTTATTCTTATAAGAGAAAAGAGCTTATTCTTATAAAAGAACAGGGCTTATTCTGGTCAGAGAACAGGCCTTGGTCTTATTAGAAAACAGGGCTTGTTCTCATTTAAGAACAGTGCTTGATATTTTTAGAGAACAGGAGGGCTTGGACTTTTAAGAGAACGGGGCTTATTCTTATCAGAGAACAGGGCATATTCTTATCAGAGAAAAGGGCTTATTCTTATCAGAGAAAAGGCCTTGGTCTTATTAGAGAACAGGCCTTGATTTTATCAGAGAACAGGGCTTGGACTTATCAGAGAACGGGGCTTATTCTTATCAGAGAACAGGGCTTATTCTTATAAGAGAGCAGGGCTTATTCTTATAAGAGAACAAGGTTTATTCTTATAAGAGAACAGTGCTTATTCTTATCAGAGAACAGTGCTTATTCTTATAAGAGAACAGTGCTTATTCTCATAAGAGAACGGGGCTTATTCTTATCAAAAAACAGGGATTGAACTTGAGAACAGAGCTTGGACTAATAAAATAACAAAGCTTATTCTTATAAGTGAACAGAGCTTATTCTTATAAAAGAACAGGGCTTATTCTTTTCAGAGATTAGGCCTTGGTCTTATTAGAGAAGAGGCCTTGATCTTATCAGAGAACAGGCCTTGATCTTATCAGAGAACAGGGCTTGGACTTATAATAGGTCTCCTTAAGATAAAGATCAACGTTTAATCCTAACATTCACAATACAGAAGTTCTGGTTTTATAACGTTATAAACGTTTTATAACGTTTTATAACGTTTATGACGTGGTCCTATTAATCGCAGGGTCAGGCCTGTTAGAGGGAATTGCTCCGTCCTTTTCTGGGACTATTTGTGCCTATTTAATATGGATGTTGGCCTGTAAGCTAGATACAAAATCTTACTTCCGCTTAGTAGATCAGATCCTTACACAACATTGAGCACAAAAACCCCGATTTTTGGTCTGGTAGCAAATCTTCTTTTTAAATATTTTAACACCTTTTCTTGGCTCGTTGACCACTTATTTGCTGAAATTTTATAAGTTTGACTTGAAAATTGGCGCCAACAGCATAATACTTTAAATTTTAAAATGATTTATGTGTCTTTAATTATGGTTATGAAACAGGCCTAAACTCTTAAAATTATATTTATAAGCTATGCCTTAAAAAATGCACTTTACTCTTAATTAAAACAAAAACATTTAATAAAACGTAAATTGCTTTAAAAAAATTGTGCGCCAAATTATTTCCAGATTGAAATATAAGTTACTAAACTATTTTAGAAGTCCCCCCCCCTCCCAATACTGATTAAACATGAACAGTAAACATGAACAGTAAACATGAACAGTAAACATGAACAGTAAACATGAACAGTAAACATGAACAGTAAACATGAACAGTAAACATGAAAAGTAAACATGAACAGTAAACATGAACAGAAAAAAACATAAAAAGTAAAAAATTAACAGAAAATTAAAAAGAAAGAGAGAAAAATTCACAATTTCCAAAACATAACGTCAAAATTATATCAAGTTACGAATGGTCACGAACCCAAACAAGTTTCAAGTGTTTTTTTCTGGTCGTTTCTGGTCATATTAATGCTCATCTAAATAAGTTTTGTTCTTTTTCAAGGAAACAATTCCTAAATGTACATTGAAAAAGAAGGTTGGTCCCCTGTAAAATAAAAAAAAACCAAAAGGGTTCAAAAGAACAGTCTTGAAAAACGTATTCAATGGCATTATTGAGGAAAACTAAATTTTTAGAAAATGCTGACACTGGGCATAAAAACCCTTATTCTCATTTTAAGCTCATACATTGAAAAAATGATAAAAATTGAAAAGTCCCCTCAAATCTGCATAAAGATTTTTAGCTAAATGTATATATTTATCTGCATTTAGCTTTCCGAGATTGTTCTAAGGATTTTTGCATGATTCAAATTTCTTTCTTTCTGATTTTCAGATATCTATTAAAATAGAAAACGAACTATTATGATAATAATAATCAAACAAAGATTTTTTTCTTAAACAGACATTTATAAAATCATCTTGAATATTTCTAAAAACTAAGAAAACTCAGAACTTATCAGTGATACTCAAAGAGTATAAATCTTTTAAATGAACAGAGAAAAAAACTTTTTTTTAAATATTGTCCCAAAAACAGCCTCTATGTATTCCCAAAAACAGACTCTATGGTCCCAAAAACAGCCTCTATGAAACATGAAGACCACGAACTGGTTCATGCTCTGACTGCAGTAAATGGCAGTAATGAAAAAAAAAACTTAAAAAGAAATTTTAAAAGCGCCTGCAAGGTCTGAGCGCATGAACGATTTCTAATGTTCTAGATTGCTTAATTCATGAAGATTGAAATCTTTTATGGCGAATATTGAGATTAATGCTTGATACTCTCTTTTTATAAATATCGAGACTAATCTAATCTTGAACATGTATCCTGAAAAGTGTATAAAATTCAACCAATCAGAGTCGCATATATGAAGCCGATAAATTTGAAATTTTGCGCGCCATTTAGGATTATATACAGCAACGGGAGGGACTCTCTAAATTAGAAAAAAAGGTTTTTGATTTTTCTTTACGATATCCAAGAAAGAACGGGTTAAGAAGAAAATGAAAAGGGTGTCCATTGGATACTCAGATTAAGTAATCGGGATTAAGGATATCTGATTCTACAGTTTTCAATCTGATTATCTGACTCATATATTTTTATTGGTGTTAAGTGTTTAGACTTTCATTTGATATGATCAAAGATCATTCATTAATTTTGCTTTAACAATTTAGATTGTATATATAAATAAATACTTATCTCTGTTTACATCACTTTATATGGATATTTAGCACAATTTACATTTTTAAAGTTTATTGACCTACTTTTCTTATGATGAAAGACTCTCATAGTAAAATAGATATTTCAGTTTATTTATCGAAAAATGTGTATAATCTATAAATAATATTTTAAATTGAATAAATTGACAAAATAAGTGTAATTTGTATAAATATATATGTGTATGTATACTATGTAGGTTGCTTGTAGGCTTAAAGTTCCAATTTCAGGTATACAACATAGCATGGACAATAATTATATAATATAAAAAGATGATAAGAATAAATAATTTTAATCCAGACTTAGAAAAAATGTGAAATTCTTTGAAGTAAATTTAGGAAAATCTACGAATCTTTTTCTTCCCATAAAAGGGATATCCTAGGGTCAAAACTTTTGGATGAGAAATCGCTAATCACCAATCTTTGATTTAAGTATCTATTGTGATAACTAATAAATGTCAGGATATTGTACTTAGTCCCTCAATTTAAGTAGTTTCCACAAAAGAATTTAATTCTTCGAACGTAAAAAAAGATTAGCACTCTTGATCCTGTGATTCACAATACAAAAGTTTTGTCCTTCTGATTTTATTTAAAATCTAAAAATGCAAAGAATGATAAAAAAGGTAGAATATTGTCTAACTGTTTAAAGCTCTTGGTCTTTTTTTACGAAAATGTTGTTACATTGATTTCATAATTCCATTCGGAACATTAGTTCACTTTTCTCCGGACCAGGAAAACTGTCTGGAGAAGATCCAATCCCGGAGTCATTCGTTCCCTTCTCCTCCTCCTTCCCCTTGAGGGTGATGGGACAGGAGTTCCTTCTGTTCACGAACCTGTGCATCTCAGCAATATTCTCTTCCAAGGAGGGGGAGCCACACCCTGATCTAGAAATAATAATGAGAATAATAATAATAGTAATAATTATTTTGACAAACATACAAAATGTTTTATAATAATAATAATAATAATAATAATAATAATAATAATAATAATAATAATAATAATAATAATAATAATAATAATAATAATATTGATAATACCTAACTTCGTTCCCTGAGCCCCTGTATGGTGCAATCTTGACTGGGAGGGAACCAGGTTGCAGGAAATCTCGGAGCAGTTTTCTCCTAAATATTATATTATTTATTCATAATAAACTACAGTTAGATTAGCTTGGTTTAACGCTAAACGTTAAATTATTTTTGGTTCACGCTTAACTACAGTTAGTTTATGTGTGGTTCACGCGTTGCTTGGAATATTTAAAAATGTTAGTATTAAAAAAATGACTTGATAAAATCTTTAAAATAACGTCTGGTTAACCCTATAAAGCAATATGGTTAACCCTATAACTTGTTCTTACAAAAATAACAATATGATAAGTTACTAGATAAAAATCTATTGTTTGCGCTTCATTAAGCAAATAGAAACGTTTAACAATTTAAAAAAAAAAAAATTAACAAATGTAGAAATAAACATATGAATAAATGAATAAATGAATAAATGAATAAATGAATAAATAAATAAATGAATAAATGAATAAATAGAATAATTCTTAAGGTTCATTACATACATACATGCATTCTGGAAATGAACTGACAGCAAACATTTCTTTTTCTTTTATTCAACATTCGTGACATCCATTTTTGCAAGATAGTGTTTAAAAAAAAAAAATTTAAGATTTTTAAGAGAGATATTCTTATGTATTAAATTAATTTATAATTTGTTTGTCTTAACCTCCAAAAAGGATTTGATGTGTAACAGGTATGTTATATAACAAGTTGTTATGTAACGATTTGTTATGTTACCAATACCATTTGTTATGTAATCCTTTGTTATATAAAGATATGTTATGTATAATTTTTTTCATTATTTACTTTTAATCCATGCGAGTTTGATATTGTTTCAGAAATACAGAATTTAAAAAATAAAACCTTTTGAGTCGAGGGGAGTTTCTTATCTCGGTACAGTCCTCGTCACCCATTATTCTCCGACCAGAAACTGTATTGGTAAATTTTACTCAGGGTTGGCTTTCAGAGATGCTTCACTCCGGGTTGGGTTTCGGAGAGATCTACCTAACTTTGATCAAAGACAAAACCTGAAAAATTCCTGAATTAGTTTGAGAAAATGAAAATAATCAAGAAAAAAGGTTTATTCAAGTAAAAAAAATTTTTAACGGAAAAATATTAGAATAATAATTAAGTTCTTTTTCTCCATGTTACTTCATATAACAGTTAGAAGGTAAATAAAAATAATCAAAAAATTATATTCACCTAACATAATAAACTGGTCAAACATCCATCTATCTATCTAAGTATTGTATTTGCTCTTAGGAAACGAGATGTTCTCCGTATGAGGACCGAAAATCAACTGAATTAAATCAAACATCAACAGTTGAATACTCATTGATAGGGAAACGGGGACGGTGATAGTTATCAGCATTCAGCCCCCCCCTCTCCCTCCCTCCCTCCCCTCCTCTCCCGGTCCATCTCGACCTTCGTGACCGGTGAACTATTCTCCTATCAATGTATTTCCGTCTTTATCTGATCATTTCCCTTCGCCTTATCGGACTTTTTCTTTTCTTTTTATCTGACTTTTCCCTTCTTTTTATCTGTCCCTTTCCCTTCTCTACATCTGACTTTTCCCCTTCTTTTTATCGGATCCTTTCCCTTCTTTTTATCTGTCCCTTTACCTTCTCCTTATCTGACCCTTATCCTTCTCTTTATCTCACCCTTTTCCTTCTCTTTATCTCACCCTTTCCCTTCTCTTTATCTTTCCCTTTCCCTTCTTTTTATCGGATCCTTTCCCTTCTTTTATCTGTCCCTTTACCTTCTCCTTATCTGACCCTTATCCTTCTCTTTATTTGACCCTTTTCCTTCTCTTTATCTCACCCTTTCCCTTCTCTTTATCTTTCCCTTTCCCTTCTTTTTATCGGATCCTTTCCCTTCTTTTATCTGTCCCTTTACCTTCTCCTTATCTGACCCTTATCCTNTCCCCCCCCCCCCGTGCAAACACGTATTTTCCTCGATATAATTCCATCTTCTCCATAATCTTGAACACAAATATAGTCAAGTTGACCTGGAATCATTGAATGATAAACAAACTAGACTCAGGGAGTTTCAATAAACCTGAGTTTTTCTTCACTAATAAATTACGGCGCATTTTAAGATTGCTAAATGTCCCAGCTTTCTGTAATGTTGTCATTTTTCTTCACTGGGGGGGGGGGCGTTGGACGCCCTCCCTTTAGTTTTTTTGTCCTAACTCTTTCATTTTTGATACAAACACCGTGAAATTTTGTGACTTTTAATGAATATAAACTAAAAGAATTTCTTATATTTTTTTTCAATACTTAGTGTAGGGTACAGGGCGGTAAAAAGTCCGGTCTGTGTAAAAACAATCTTAACACCCTGTCTGTAGTTTACTACATGTATGTATCTATGTATGTAGGTCGATATAATCTCACAAGTTCATTTATATCTCACGGAAAATAAACATTAGAACACGAACTCTAGAATCTGTTATCTGCGTAGTTTTTATTAATATATTACACAATAAATACTGCGTATCAATTTACATTATGATTATTTTACGTCAAAACTTTCGTCCAAGAGGGGATTTAAATGTAGAGGAATTAAGGAAATGAGGAATTTAGGAAAATAGGAATTATGGAAAAGAGGAATAAAGGAAAAGAGGAATTATGGAAAAGAGGGGTTATGTAAAAGAGGAATTCAGAGAAAGAGGAATCACTGAATTTTAAAAAGAAGTTGGGCCCATCTCCCTATCTCCCCATGATTTCTCCTTTCGCCAACGGGAAAATTGATAATTGATGGTGCTAAGCTTATTATGAGAGTTCCTACCATTTTTCATGTTCAATTTTCTTTTTTCTTCTTGTTTCTTGTTTGTAGGTTTATGCAATTTTTGTTTTTAGTTTTTCATGTCTAAATCCTGGTTATACGCATAGAGGTCTTAAAAATGGAGCTCACAACATTTATTCACTAAGAATTCAATTCCAAATACTGTGTGTAGGTAGGGTTAAGTACGTAGGAGTTGGAAGTTTGAATAGGTCAGAAAGGAGGGTATGGAGTGACTCTCATAGAATAGAAAATCCCTACTTTCCTCCGATTTTATAGTGTTTCCCACTCTACGAAATTTTAGGTTTTTTCCCCATTGGTATTGCACCGCGCGCATTACAAAAAGGGGAGTTGTTGGCTTTTTTGCTCCAGGATGGCATTTTTGACAGTAGTCCAGTTGTAATAATCGGCCTAGTGTCGCAGCCCGTAGAGTAAAAAAACCGGTATCTTAGTGCATGGTTACTCACCTCTCAGGATTATTCTTTCTAGGTTTCTATTTTTCTTGATTCTGGCGAGCTATTTTCTTTCTTTGTTTTTGAAGTGTGGTGACGTCATGTTTAATTTTCACAGAGCTCCCTGTCCAATATAGGCCAGTGTCCGAATTTAAGGAATTTAAGCCGCGTCTCAAATCACCCAAAAACCAGTTTCAATTGAAAAAATTAATACAATTTTAAGTGGAACCAACAATATTTGAGCCGCGGCTCAAATTCTTTAAATTCGGCCTTAGGGTACTTAGGGCAGAAAATTAAATGTAAAATGTGTAATTTGATAAGAATTTAATTCGGAATTAATTCTCAGAAATAAGAACTTGTGATTTATCTGTTTTTCCTGTTAAGTGTTCAGCATTAAAATCTAAGTACATTTAACTTTTGCTTTCTGGGCCTGAAACTTTAAAAAGTTAAAAAAATTATTAATTCAAATGTACGCAATATTGACAACAGTTTAATCAGTTCAATCAAATATGTGGATATCATCCCAAGAAATATAAATTTTTATTTTTCGTTATTTAAAATCTACATTTTAATTATACTAGGCTTTTAGGATGCTTGTAGTACTTCTTATTGTTTCTTTTTTCACTTACGAATATTGTATTACAGTGAGACCCATTAAACTGTGGAAAAGGAAGACGACTGTTTGCCTCAATAATTATGATTTTAAATAGGAAACACAGATGCATTTTACTTACTGTCATAAGATTGCTTAAATGTCGTCTTACTATTCCACCGTTTTTGTGAGTCTCACTGAACTTTTCTATATGTTCATAGCTGAAAACTTTAGAATATGATATCCTTAATCCTGATCTGTTAATTAATCTGGAGATTAAATTCATGAGAAGAACAAGCAATATTTAATATCGAGATTAATAAAAAGAGTGGATCAAGCATTAATCCTGATATCCAATATTCTAAAGTTTTCAGCTCATGGTAGATTTCTTTTCAGGTAAATTGGTAAAATTCAGAAAAGAAAAGATTAGATACGCCGGTTTACCTTTTATTAGATTAAAAAACACCCATTCAATCGTATTATGCAATATGTAAAGTTTGTTCCTAGATACCATGTCATCGAACAATAAGCAAGTTCATATTTATAGGTGAAATATGATTTTGCTGATCTAGCAGAAAATGCTTGGAGAATTCTACTTTTGAAAGAATTGTGTTAGTCCGAATTCTGAACTTTTGCATGGAGTATCGTTAAGCATGAACTTGATATCCAATACGGGCACTTTTAATTTGAGAATCATTGCTTGATACTTTGGTTAAAGTTGTATCCGACGCCGTAGATCTGCATAAGATGGAGATCAATGCTTGATCCCTTGATTAAAGTTGTATCCGTAGATCTGCATAAGATGGAGATCAATGCTTGATCCCTTGGTTAAAGTTGTATCCGTAGATCTGCATAAGATGGAGATCAATGCTTGATCCCTTGGTTAAAGTTGTATCCGTAGATCTGCATAAGATGGAGATCAATGCTTGATACCTTGATTCATTACACAAAAGTTTTGAGCACCGGGTTTATTATAATGAAATAGTCGTAAAACGCGATTATTCATTTTTTTCATTTCGACTAATATCTTGTTAGTCAAAATCTCGAAGTGGGTTTACTAATTTACTAAATTTCCTTAATCGTATATTATCGTATTTGATATGTTATATAAATATATATATATATTCATATATTGTAGAGGATTATGAAATATAAATATGCAAATCATTAATGTTGGATTCTGGACCAGAGAAGACCTTATACTCATCTTCCTCTCTTTAATACAATCGTTATTCATTATGCATTTATTATGTACTTGTACTGCGTAGATGAATTAATTTTTCTCTGTATAACCACTTAAAACTTCGGTAATTTAAAGTATACCGTATACCGGACTGAACTGTAACCAATTTGAGCAAGTTGTACAGTATGAATGCAGCACATATAAGGCAAAACGGAACGGTACATCAAATGAATAATTTTCTTTAATATGAAGTTGAATGTGATGCAAATTCAATTGCCATATTTAGACATCATGATGCAGGGAGGATCCGGGGAGGGGGCACATTAATCTCACTAGAAGCCGATAACTTATTTGGAGTTCTGTCCCATTTTGCTGTGTCTTAAACTTCTGCATGTGTACTGTACTACTTGCCCTAGCGACCCACAAGTCTGTCCAGTACTTCAAATAAACCGGAGCTTTCAGGGCGGCCCGGGGGGGATCTTAAGATAACAAAATCAGGAAGGAGGGACCCAAAGTGAATAATGGCCAATTTCTAATTCATGTTACCATAGGTACAATTATTATAGGTCGTATCTATCTATCTACACTGCTCTGGTGAAGCGTAGCCATAGTGTGACTATGGTTCTACCTATGGTAGAATGTCTAAGAAATTGGCCATAAATAAGTATTTAATCACTTTGGGAGGGACCGGGGATGGTTGTAAAATGTTATTGTCTACTCCTACTAATATCGAGGATTAAAGTCCTGGAAATATGAGTTTAACAATACATTATGTGTGACGTGAGTAGGCCAGGGATTCAAACTTTATCCATTACAACTGTATATACAGGGTTACCCACAAAGAATGGGACTGTATAGACGAAATAAGAATTTTCAAATATGACGATTCAAAGGATAAATTTAGTCTTTTAATCATAGGCGGTTTCGGGATTTAAGATANGGGTAAAACCCCCCCCCCCTGTAATCTTATAAAAAGAAATTCCCCCTCCCCAACCCCTCTTGTGCTAAAAATTTCTATTTACCGCCCCAACCCTACGAAAACTACAGTTTCTTTATAGTACAGGTTAGGCAAATGTCTTAATAATCCATTTTTTAACATTTTTTTGAATATTGGTTTAAAAAAGTTTTTGAAAAAAGATAATCCATTTATTTATCTAACGGTTATTCTAATAAAGGGAGAATTATTTTTTATTTCCTGCTATCAATCTTAAATCATGTTATTTTTTCTAGCAGTAGCTAGACTGCAATGCAAGTTATAGTTTTTATGTTTATTTTTAGAGTTAAAATAACCAAAAGAAGGCTGAAAGTAAATAAAGGAATTTTTGTTCAAAATAAAAAAAATAAAAATATCCTCCTTTATTCCAATCTACAATAATATTGTTTTCTTGTGCCGCTTGAATTAAAGGTATTTAAAACACTGATGTCCGAAATTCTTATCCAGGTTGACCAACCTGTCGGTGGAAATAAATGACCTGTACAATCAATCAACTTATCACTGATGTATGTTATGGTTTTATTTTTAAGCAGCATTTACAAAAAGCATTTTTCGATAAAATCAAAACTGACCGTCGGAAATGGCTATTTGTGGCCGAAAAACCAGTTTTACAGGTGATTTTTTATTTTTTCCAAAAATGTCGATATGGGATCAGCTTTGCAAAGTGTAATTCTATGCAGCAAACAGTTTGTAAAAAATATTCAAACATGCGAAGTGCAAATAATTAGGGAAATCACGAAATTCCTCAGTTTTTCAGCTCCAATTTGGCTTCATCATTTTGGAAAACGGGGTTTCCGTTAAATATGGCTTGGAAAGACGGATCTTTTGATGCACATATCGACATATTTTAAGGAAAAAACACTACTAGCGTTTTCTATCACAAAAGGCCATTTGCGATTGTCAATTTTGATTTTAGCGAAAAATGCCTCTTGTAAATAAAAAAAAAACACTAGTATTAACTACTTGAAATGATTCCTCTCAAATTTCTGAAAAATCACCCTTATTATATATTTTTATTTTTACAATGTTTTCACTTTCAAGTAAACTTTATTATTTATTTAGATACATAAATAAAAATTACAGTTTAAATGGGAAATGACTTTGTAAAAATCCAGGGGGGTACAACCCCCCCCCCCTAATTTCACTCAGGGGGTGGTAATGGACTGCCACCCCCCCCCTGAAACCGCCAATGCTTTTAATAGCCTATTGAATGATTTTGTTCAGTAAAACACAAGTTTACAGTTTCAGGGATAATCATGAACATCATTAAGCAGAGCGGTAAAAATTACGAAAGTCATCTCTGAAGCATTATCCTTTGTGGGTAACCCTGTATATTACTAAATTGAGAACCCAGCTTAACATGGAATCTAATATTCCCGCATAAAGGTCGACCCACTTAACTTAGAAATGTTAAACCGTAGAATAGGAAGACGACATTTAAGCAATATTTATTTTTATTTATTGTCGTTACAAAGCAATTGGTTTTAATAGCTTAAAAATCCTTGAAGTGAAATACGCCTGTCTGTGTAAATTGCACATTTTCTGTTTATCATGTGCATCGGACTATTTTAAGTCTCTCCCTACTCCAAAATATTCTGGTTCTCAAATCTCACTGCAACATATAAGGACAAGATTAATATCAGTTCAGAACTCCCAATATAAACTCAGAAAGTTGAATAGAAATTAACTAAAATGGGCCTAAGAGTGGAAAAAAACCTACAAATCAACCTAATTCCAAGAAATTATAAATTACATTTAAGAATATTTATTTCGCATACAAATGATTAAATAATTCTCAACTGCTGAAATAGTATACATTTTATTATTAAACTTTAAGTATAGAATTAATAGTGGTCAGTACTGCTTCCTGTGGTACACTCACGAGTACTGCTTCCTGTTGTACACTCACGAGTACTGCTTCCTGTTGTACACTCACGAGTACTGCTTCCTGTTGTACACTCACGAGTACTGCTTTCTGTTGTCGCTCACGAGTACTGCTTCCTGTTGTACACTGTCGAGTACTGCTTTGTGTTGTACACTAAGGTGTACTGCTTTGTGTTGTAAACTAAGGAGTACTGCTTCGCGTTATAAACTAAGGAGGAATACTGCTTCGTTTTGTACACTAAGGAATACTTCTTCGTGTTATACACTAAGGAATACTGCTTCGTTTTGTACACTAAGGGGTACTGCTTCGTGTTGTACACTGGTGAGTACTGTCTAGTGTTGTACATTAAGAAGCACTGTACAAGGTTATTTAGTTTAAAATAAAGTTTGCACACTATATATCTGCACGGTATATAATTAAACATCCAATACTGAAAATAAGTTCTAAGTTAAAGAAAAGTGATATGGCACGTATCCAGCAAATTAACTGCTAAACTATACAAAGTACATAGCATGTCAGCTAGCTGATAATATATTATGACAAAACATGTAAGACCTAAATAGCTCGGTTCAAGATACCATGGCAAGCGAAAATATGGGCCCAGCTTGTTGATTTGCTATGTGCATTGATCTTTTGCTGTACTGTACATTAGTTAAGACAAAACTTGACAAATTGTACAAGATTCATAGTTATTAAACTTTAGAGTAAGTGACTAGTAACAGAAGATAACAATCACAAAATTATTCAGTTATCTTGAATTAATTATTAAAAACAAATATTCTAACCTACATATTCTTATGTACATGTTTAATCACGTCGATATCTTATAAATAGGATAATATTAATTAATTCATTAGATTTTTTCTTCCGTCTTCTAAAAGAGAAGGCTATCTTTGGATTGACACCTTCAAATGTCGTATTTTGTTAAAAATAAGCTACCTGTTTAAAAACATGGGTCATAGTAATCTCGCTTTTATGTATTCAGATCTGTGAACACTGTGCATTGTACAGTGTACGGTGTACAGAGTACACGTAATATATCACGGTATACAAATAAACACTTTATGTACAAATACAATGTTAATTTAACAGTTTTTGTATTTTATACAATTTAATAATCTACAGTGTATTGTGATGTTAATTTGATGTTAATTAAATTAAACATTACTTAATTACAAAGTTATTTGTTTATATAATAAGTTCAAAGCTGCTTTAAGTCGAGAAGCTAAAAACAAGGATTTAAGATAATTACTGTGTCTATTTAGCTTCTTTAGGGGACATTTATCGGAAATAAAAATCCAGAAATCAAGAGTTGTCAACCGAGGCTCAAATTAAAATTAGTAAATCTCAGGCTAAGCTTAGTGTCGTAGCTAAGGCAGAACAGATATGTACAATGTACACTGGAATACGTAGAAGCAACCATGCACATCCATCCTTGCATGTACATTATACAGTACAGTACATACAGATTTTATCCTGAAGCAAGTTAGACAAGTCACGTGAGGTGCTTCCTCTAACATGAAGAGAGTTTATTCAAGCTTGGTTTTCCCATTTTAAACATTCTGACTTCAGATTCTAAATATTTTGGTTCGGTCAGGACCTCACTCATAAATATTGACTGGGATTTCCAAGATGTTGACCGTGGTTTCTCAGATATTGACCAGAGCTTCCCAGATTTTGACCGGGGTTTCTCGAATATTGATTGGGATTTCCCGGATATTGACTGGGGTTTCCCAGATGTTACTGGGGTTTCCCAGGTTTCGAAAGGAAATTCACAGATGTTAACCGGGGTTGTCTATAAAAACACCGTTGAACAGAATTTCCCAGATGTTGACCGGGGTTTATCAGATATTGACCGGTGTTGTCGAGATATAGACTTGGGTTTCCGAGATGTTCACCAGGATTACCCCAATGTTAACTGGGGTTTCCCAGATATTTACCGAATTACCCAAATGTTAACTAGGGTTTCCCAGATATTGACCGATGTTGTCTATATATAGACCGGGGTTTCCTGTCCGGTCAAAAGTCTATACATTGAGGTCGGCATAGTCTTCATTGCAATCTAAAAAAAATATTTTGTATTATTTTCCAATTTTTAACATTGTAATATTTTTTTTGTTTAAATTGAGATTTATTTGTTTTTCGCTTGTATTCAAAAATTTCATAATGAAAGTAAAAAATTGTAATAAAAAATTGAAGAATTTACAGTGGGGGGTAGGGAGGGTTGATAACTACTCACCTCTCCTACACTTGTGGCTAGAAGGTTTACAATACGTTCATGTGGAACAGCAACAACACTCTGTCCGTTAATCTCAATTATTCTAAAAATAAATATAAAATTATATTTTACTCAGAACATCTTCCTTCATCGCTAGCTTGTTAGTTTTTTAATTAAATTTGGTTTTGATGAATATCTAACCACACAAAGAGTAAAGCTGGGCAGATATAATTCCTTATTTGTTTGAAAATATAGTTTAGTATGGGTAGTCATAAACATTATGTTTTCCTTCAGTCAAAACCTAATTTCTTACAATTTTAACAAATGAAAACATATTAAAAAGTGCTGCTACAGGAGAGTTTTAACAGTAAACTTTGTACTTACAAGAACTCTTAAAAACAGATGATTTTAAACTTTTTTTAGTTTTGGGAACTGATTCGTACTGTACTGTACAACTGTACATCAGATATCTATATCTATGTAAAAGATAAACCAGTGCTTAGGATCAATTTTATTTTACATAGATATGCATCCTGAGGCCGAATTTAAAGAATTTGATCCGCGGTTTAAATTTAAGCCGCGGCTCAAATATGGTTGATTCCACTTAAATTCGTATTAAATTTTTCAAATTTAAGCCGGCGGTCCATTAAAACCGGTTTTTGGGGGATTTGAAACGTAGCTTAAATTCATTAAATTCAGACACTAAGATGGAATTTAAAGAATTTAAGCCGCGGTTTAAATCTGCCAAAACCCGGTTTAAATTAAGCGCTGGCTTAAATCTTGAAACATTTGATACTATTTTTAGTGGAACCAACCATATTTAAGCCGTGGCTTAAATTTAAACCGCCTCTCAAATTCTTTAAATTCGGCCACTGGACATGACTTGAAAGAAAAGAAAGCAGATCCGGTTCCAAATCCGGATCCGGATAAAATTATATGGATCCTAATCAGGATCAAGATTAGAAATATTTATCAACGTTTTACTGATTTTTTTTTACCAAAACAACTTAAACAAATTAAAAGATGTCCTTCTTTTTTTGCCAATTTTTATTCAATTATATTTAAATTCTAAGCTGTGCAGCTCAGGTTTTGATCCAAATATTTTATTAGAGAGAGAGAGGGGGGGGGGGCGTAAATATTGTAGATTATAACCTGTGTCCTACTCTAACCCCTCCTCTCTCTGCTATCCCACCACGTAGTAAACTACAAATCTAAAAAAGAATATTTTCTAGATTAAGAAAGTAAAATACAGAGATAGGGGGGAACAGATACAACTTAAAGACGACAAAAAATAAGTCATAAAACACATCTTTCTAAAGATGGAAAAAACAGTGTATCAAGATTTAAATGCCTTGTACATTATAAATTTATAGCAATAAAAAGAATTCAGAAAAATAATAAATTTAAAAAAAATATGTTTATCGCAAACTAAATAGAAAATGCATGTGACATGTAAGCTGTAACTTTAAAATAAAAAATATAGATAACATTTCAGCTGTTTAACTTTAAACAAAAGTGTTTCAAATTTACGTCTAAGACAAAGCATGAAAGACCTAATTTTATAATTTTTATATCTTTCTGAAAAACATTAAACAGTTCGGAATATATCATAATAAAAAGTATCAATTTCCGTCTTTAGTTTTCTTTCTAATTCATAATTGCATAAGGTACTTCTCTTAGAAAACCACAATCGAAAATAATCAATTTTCGGCTAGACAAATCAGAATATCTTATTCATCCTTAATCAGACAAAGGTTTAAAGGATCCCGGTGTGAATCAGACGAAACGTAAATAGAGGATTGCTGTAATTAGTAAAGTTTGCTTACCACTCCGTTCTGGACACTGAACCCCAGCTGGTATTTGGTATCAGGGCGCTTTATCTTGACCTCGACAACAGGTGGACAGGAGACAGCGGTCAGCTTCACAGCCGTCTTGTTCTTTGTGTTCTAAACATATTTATATACAGGTCAACTTACATACAGTGGTCAGCGTTTATATCAATACAATGAAGACGAATTTTCAATCTAATTTTTAATTTCTAACGAGCTTTTTTCAAATTACAAGTTTAGAAGTAAACAAAGAGAAGATATTATTTGACAGCTTCTCCTTGTTTCCAAGCTGTTCGAAAGCTTGGTACAAATATAAAAAAAGATATATATATATATATGACTATTTAACTATAACTATGTATGACTATATGACTATATAACAGAATATGACATTAAGACAGAATACAAAAGAACAGAATATAGAATAAAAAAGTTAAAAACTCGAGTATAGAAAAGTATATGATTATATTATAAAACGACTTTTTGTTATTTATTAAAATCAAAATTGAGAAAAACCAATTTTCAATGTCTCAGGGTGGAGAGGGGCATAGGCGCAACTAGAGGGGGGGGGCGGCCGGGCGCGCGCCCTCCCCTAGCACCTGAGAGGGGGGCGCGCCCCCCCTGCAGAATGAAAAGAAAGAAAGAATGGCGAAAATCAGTATCACAGGAATAAGAAAACCAATAGAGTTATTGTAGAAATTTTATTACACAATAGTTAGTTTTAAAAAGAATATTTTTATCTTTCTCAATTCTCAAGGCTAAAGGCTACTGTAAACATTTAATGTAAAAAAAAAGTTCTGAACTGTATTTTATTTGTGTTGAGTTTATAGAGTACTCGTAGATATCAAACTTTGAATTCTTATGGTAAAATATTCCAAGTTATCAAATGTTTACACCACTCGGTGCAAAGATTTAGGGATTAGAATATTTGAGTTTGTGGCAAAAACTCAGTTCCAAATCTAGAGAAAATTCTGAACCTGGCAAATTTTTAACTGATTATCATATTTGATAACTAACAAGATTTATCTTCTTTGACAAAAGTTCTGTAAAATCGAAAATGAATTTAGATTATGAATGTTGGTTAGATCAATCATTAATTCAATAACTTCAAGAGAAAAGGTAACATTATCTGTCCTTTTGCAATGTAAATAATTGAAATTATTATTTACCTATGTATTTTTATGTTTTTTTTCCCCAGAAACTATAAATGATTATTTCTTGCAATTTAATCTGTAATTAAACCAGGTACTTAAAAAATACTCTTTTGCGATTCGCACACATATTCAATGAATTGACTCATATCATTCATTTTACAGCTGTTGGAAGTATAGATTTTGTAAAAACACAAGAACAAAAAATCGATTTGAATTGAACACATAATAATATATTGCCCCCCCCTAGCAAAAGTCCTAGTTGCGCCTCTGGAGAGGGGAGGAGTTGTTAAATAAAACACCCCTGAAAATAATCCCGATGTTATCTCGTAAAAAATGTGTAAAATGTGAGGTTACATATCTCCAGGGATATGATTAATGTCTGAGCAATAAACCAGAGTAATCCTAGTAAATCCTAGATTCACACCAAACCGACCCCAACAATAAAAAATGACCCAGCACTATAAGAAATCCTATCTCGATGTTCGATGGGTTGAATGATTTATTCGACCCTACGGAACGATTTTTTCAGAATTCAAGATTTAGATATCAATATCATAGTAATAGCTATAGCTCTATTCGGTTTTAAAATATCAAGTATTAAGATTTTACTGATCCAAGGGGGGGGGGGGGCTGTGAGCCCCATAACCCCTCCGCCCCTGTGTATACCTCTGCAGTAAACTGTTATTCTGAAATGTTAAAGAATTTTTATAAGCATAGAGAAAAACCAAACGTCTCTTGTTCTTTAACGGGGCCAAATGAAAATACACAGTTTGCCTTGTGCATCTCTATTTACTCTATATATAATCATATTTGTTTCTTATACCTAGATATTAGAGTTCTCTTGAGCATAGAAAGAGTTTAGGATGAGAAGGAGCAGGTTATATTATTAAAGTTTTGCATAGAATTTTAATATAAATTCTTCATAATACAGAAGGATATTAGAGGGCTGAGTGTACAAAGGAAAATCTAGATTTCTTCTCTAGTTTCTGGCACAGTAGGCGGGTGCTCTAATGAGATGGCAAACTTCCATCCACAAAATGGCGCGGATTCCCATAAAAATGCCGCGGTTAGCGTACATTGTCGCAACAATATTGGCGGGAAAACAGATATTAGATGGAATGAAATGATCCCCTGCCACCCCTGGACCACCAGGTTTAGAGATATATTGTCAACTAAAGTTGGGTAATGGATGATATCAGAAATTACACCAGGGTTAAATATATTTTACGTTTTGTCTATCTTTCTTTTGTGGAAAACAAAAACATGAACAAAATGAACTTGCGAACTTACATATATAATGGCTTCTTCAATCAATTAAACCAGTTATCTAATCAAGAATGCGTGAAATATCCATCATATTTATTCATTTTGAAAACAGATAATTTCATATTTGTGATTTCTCTGTAATGTGACTTTTCTGTTACAGAAACAATGTGGGAAATGGTCAAGTTTAAACACATTTTAAAAATCGAAGACGACAATTATTTATATCGATCAGGTAAGGGTTTAAAGGGCAGTGTTGCGAATATGGCAGGACTTCTTTAAATTGAAGGTCAGGTATAATTACAACGACATTCCCTTTAAGATGAAAAATATATAAATTTCAATCCACGAAATGATAAATACAAAGAATTTAAGACACAAACTCTCTGGCTTGCATTCTTTAATGAAATTGTTGTACAGTTTATTTTTGAATATATTATACTAGTTCCCTAGTGGGTGATGGTGCTGGCACCTTGATATACAGAGAGTAAATAGAGATGCATTTCTTTATCCTCAACATTATACTATACACTGTATACAGGAGGGGGGAGGAGGGGGTTTCATCCAGTGGAATATATTTTAAAGTTTCCCCCCCCCCCACAAAGAAAAATGTTCTATAGTATTTGCAGAAAAAAAATAAAAAAACAGCTAAATTCCCAAACCCCCCTTTTAGATATTTTTTGTCAATAATTTCATTATTTAACCCATTTCAGGGAACAAAAGCACAATGGTGTTTAAAAATATATACAACCCTTTTTTAATATCTAAATAGAATAGAGTGAAGAGGGGGGGGGGAAGTGAAATTACAATTTGTATTCTAAAAACTAAGAGTTATTTCCTCTCCTATATATTTTATTCTCTCTCCCTGATAGAATGGTGTTACACAAGAAACTTTAATATACAACTAATATGTCTCCGGAGTTCTCAACTCCAGCACCAGAAAACATATTTTCATAACTTCTTAAAGGGACTGTAACCGTAATTTAATGTGACCCTCGATGCGAAAATTTACAACGATACACAAGAAACCTTACTCTGTTCAAAAATGTAAAGGATAACAACGTTTTTCTGACTCGAAAAGAAAAGTGTTTATTTCTGTAAGTTTCTCCTTCGCTTCTTATAAGCAAGAAAAACGAAAGTCACTTTTGCAGAGAAACCTACACATTAAAATGTTCAGTTAAAAAGCAAAACTATGTATATCTAATTCACAGGCAAAGGTTTTAGGGGTACGGTTGTAAATCGAGGATTGTCCTCTTTGCATGGAGGGTCACTTGAATACACGCTTACAGTCCCTTTAAACTATTTCTTCACTTCGAATAATAATATCATGCTGAACAAGTCAATTTAAATTTTAAAGTAAACATTAAGTTAGATTGAAATTTTAAATGTATCGTTAACAACTCTTTTCGAAAAAATATGACAAAAAAAAATTTTTATTTTATTTTTAATTTGCAACTAAATGAATTTAATTTTCCTATAATTTGTGCTTGCACATAAAACAACAACTAGAGATGCTACGAGTTCCCAAAGTTGTATCAGTAAGTTTTGCAGCTATTTTACCATTTCAACATGTCTAGATTTAACATTGCAAGCCGCTTTTTGACCATGGAATCATTTCGATAGCAGGGAGTGTCGAACCGAATTTCAATGAATGTTGTGAGTTGCCACAAAAAAAATTGGGCCTGCTCATTATCGCCAGTTTAACTTTTGTTGGATGTAAACAGACAAGCCAAATTTATATATATATAATGAAGTTAAATGTTAATATAAGGAAATCTATGAGAGAATTCTTATTGGTCGAAACCCAGCTTTAATATCCAAAAGAGAGGATTAATTGCAGAGTTTTCAACTCTGTTAGAGTAAAGTGAGTTATTTGGTTATATTTAAAAAATTGCTGAATTTGGTTATACATATTTTTCAACCCTAATATCATTACAATAATACAATTAGACACAAAACAGCACAAAACAGCACAAAGGTTGAATTAAAACATCTTATATAGGATTTTCAAACCAAAAATGTCGGGTCTAGTTTGCCTAAATATTATGTTGTGAGCAAGCTCTAGGAAGCCACTGAAAAGGTTCTCAGGGATGACAATATATGTGCAGAGTGCTTTGCAGAACTGGATTTTTTCCTTGTTTTGAACAAGCGTGCAACAAACTCAAGCTAATTCCAGGAACTGCTTTCAAGAGGACTGAACACCCTGAGCAGCTTGATTATCCTCGATAATAAGAGGAAGAAAGATTTCTGCCGGAGAAAAGGATTTCAACTTTTATTGGTGCTTGTGGGTGAATAATATTAAAATAAAATATTTTAAATTTTTTCTATTAAGTTCATTCTTGTCGGATTTGGGTGTTTATTTTTGTTCGTGTTTTTTAAGTGAAAAATAGAATAATTTAAACGTTAATTGTTAGAATAGACTCATGAAAAATAGTGTTGTTTTAAACATTTTTACTGTACCAGCTAAAATGAGTGTAAAACAGTGCTTAGGATCCATTTAATTTTGATGCGGATCCGGATCCTGGATCCGCTTTTCAAAAAAATGGATCCGGATTCGGATCCGGATCCAGGTCATTGATCAAGAAATTTTTTTATTTTAGTTCATATATCTTTTCATACCCAAAAAAATATTAAACATTTTAACATTTTTTTACACTATTTTTCTACTAGTTTGCACAAAATGATAATGATTTTTTTTACTTTATTGGATGAAAAAAAAACAGGTCTAATTCATATTAGCTTTTAGTAAAAGGAGGGCGTTTGGAATATCTGCCTTCAGGCAACTCCTTAGGTCTGATTTGAATATCTTCAGGGCAGAGAACAGTCTCTTACACATCCTTACACCTTAGTTTGTGAAGACTAAATTTGCTTAGTTGCAATGGGGAAAAGGGAGACTTCTCCCCCCCCCCTCCCTCTCTAGTTATTAAAGGGGGTGGGGGAGGGGTGCACGGTGGAGGTCTGAGTTAAGATTTGAGCAAGATAGAAACCAGAGACCCTGAGAATATTTTTTAAATCTGTTAAACAATTCAAAATAGGATATTTTTAAGGAAAATTAACGCTGTTTTGCACATTTTGAAAAATAAAATTGTGCTTGGATCCGGATCCTAAGCACTGGTGTAAAATGATAAAGTTTAGCACTATAACCAAATAACGCAATTTATAACCAACCTAAGTGAAACATATGACCAAATACAGCAATTTGATATGCTTTAAAGCAACCTGTGTATCTTTAGCAATGATGAATCATTTCCATTTTGTCTTCGGCTTCCTACTCAAATATCTTCAAACTTTAGAATAATTGTTTTTTCAAACAATTTGTGTCTAACTTTAGTGAGTTATAGGTGTTTTTCCTAAAAATCGGAAAATTTAAGATTAACTATAACAAAATAACGCACTTTACTCTGATAATATTTTTACTTAACCAGTAGATAAAATATCTGAAGTTGTTTATGATTCCTGTGATCATTCTATATTTATATATAAAGAATGTATGTCAAATCATAACTCAAGAACCCCTTAAACTGATTTGCCTCCAATTTTGATTGGGGAACTCAGGAGAAATTGAACGTGGGTCCAATTTTACAGGGAAAAAGCGCGGGTAAACAGAGCGAGGAACTATGAGTACCCTGGGCAATGCTGGGTTCTCAAGCAAGTAGAATACTTCAACTTATTTCATATAATATCCTAATATTCTAATATTAGAACTCAAGCCGACTTAAATCCTAATTTACATATTTCACTTAAACCCTAGTTTAGCGGAGGAACAGTGAGATTCGAAACACATGACAAGGTTCCTCTACAGATTATTTGGGACAGGGACCCGATTGACCAACCAATTTCATAAATTTATGTATAATCATAAATGATAAGCAAATGCGAAATTGAGTNCTTCGGGTGCAAAATATTTCTAAAAGAATCTTAATTCCAAATCTAACCTTAATATACTGCTGGCAAGTTGAAAGCGGTAGTCCGACAAGAGATACTCCGTTAATAGCAATAACCTAGAATACAAGATTATTAATTAATTAATTAATTAATTTAATTCTAATAAAAAATATATTATTACACAGCAAACCCAAAAAACAAGCAAAATCTAACAGGATTTTGCCAACAAATCCTTTAAGTAGAAGTTTTGAAATGTAAATGTCCATGGCTACAAAAAAAAGTATGCGCGAGTTCGTCAGGTAAAACCAAGTCGCTGGGACACTTCAAAGCCGACACAGTTTTCAAATCTGATGATTAACTTTCATAAATTTCTAAATTTCTAAATATCTGTAGTTTGATATCTAGTAGTTTGATGATGATTTTTCAAAATGCCACTTCAAAACAAGCACGTTATATAATATTTCAAATCTTCATATACTATATATTATATATTTCAAATCTTCATATACTATATATTATATATTTCAAATCTTCATATATTATATATTGTATATTTCAAATCTTCATATATTATATATTATATATTTCAAATCTTCATATATTATATATTATATATTTCAAATCTTCATATCTATCTTAGTTGCTGCAAACAAGTTGGTTGGGACCAGGGGGCTATTCCCAGTCTTTAAGAAGTGTGTAGCTCGCGCTGCCCTGAAAAAAAAAAACTGACCTGATCCCCAATATTAAGATGACCGCAGCGTGCAGCAGGACCGGTCGGGCAAAGGTTAGCGAGTACAATTGTAGGAAGCATACTGCCCCAGCCACTCTCTACTATCACAACACCCAGTATCTCACCTTTAGCTTTAGGCACTACAACCTAAACAGTTCAATATTAGATCAAACATTTTTTTCAAGATTTTTAACAAACATTTTCATTCGTAATATATTCATTTCCCAAGACGGGATGATTCTTATAATCATTATTCTCAAGACAGCAGATATTGTTAAAGGGACTGTAAGCAAAACTTCAAGTGACCCTTTATGTAAAGTTGGCAAAGCCTAAATCTCAACGATATAATCAAAATCTTTATCTGTTTAAAAATGTGGAAGATATTGTCGTTTTTCTGGGGTTAAAGTAATTTAATTCTGATAATTCCTAAATGTTTGTTACCCTGCAGTAGAAATACGCAAGTCACTTTTGTAGGGAAACCATAGTTGAAAATAACCAGTTTTCGAAATTATAAACTTATTCAGACAACGTTTTACCGTTGTAAATCGTACATTGCCATCTTAGTATGGAGGTTCCCTTGAAATTACGCTTACAGTCCCTTTAAGTAGAACAAAACCTAACGGAGAAAAGCCATAGTGCACTGAAACAAATGCAACAATTGAATAAGACAGCACTCAGAACTGATACATGAACATCATATAAAACTTAAAGAGAAAATATAATATGTATAAAAATAAAACCCTTTCAGAGTAACAAATTCTCTTAAAATATTTCACTTAAAGAGACTGCTAGCGTAGTTTTAAGTGACCCTTCATGCAAAAATGGAAATGTCTGATCAAGTATGAGTTAGATTTTGATGCTTTTGTTATTTTCATATTTGCGGTTTCTCAGGGAAAGTGACTTGCACATTACTTGTTTATAAGAAGCAACGGAAAACTCACAGAAATAAACACTTCACGAGACAGAAAACATTATTCTCCAAGTATTAAGGTTTCCTAGGTACCGTTGTGAATCGGGAATTGCCATCTTTACATGGAGGGTAACTAAATCTAAACCAAAGGAAATAACAGGGAACAAAGGCGTATTAAGGGGGGGGGGCATAAAATTAAACCCCTCCACCTGCCGGACAAATTCCTAAATACGCCCCTGACAGGGAACAGAAGGTTTATCAAGATTTAAGAACAAAGAAATAGAAAAATGTAAGATTAAGAAAATTAAATTAGAAAAAAAGGATTATTAAAAAAAAATAGATACAAAAGAAAAAAAAATAATCTAATTATAAAATGGGTAAAGTTAAATGGAGATACAGGGAAGTTAAAAAGCAAAAAAAAGAAGACCAAACAAGAAAGGATTGTTGAACGTAGGAAAAATGGAGTAAAGAAATGGAACAAAAACCCTCATAAAGATTGAAGAAAAAAGATCAGAAAAAAATAGAAAAAAGTTAAAATGTTGAATAAAAAATGAATGAATCTGAGAGATATTAAAAAATAAAAGTAAAATGTTGATAAAAAGATAAAGAAAGAAGACCATAATGCACACAGTCTTTTTTATCTTATACATTCATCTCACAAGTGTCAAGACAATAAATTATTATGCTTACATAAATTCACCAGGGGGAGAAGGAAGAAGGGGGTGGGGGGGGGGCAACACTAAGTGCAAAGAATGCTAGAAAGGAAGGCCAGATGTAAGTAAAGGAAAAATGAAAGGGGTATAGACTGCTGAAACCTAAGCATTTTAGGAATTAATAGAAACCCATAAGAGTTCTATCTGATGTTCCTGTCTCGAGAAATTGATATGAAACTATTTAAAATTTAGACGAAAATTTATCTTTATAAAATTTATCATGTGACCAGAACTCCCACTAATGGCAGTGCAGTATCATTATCACATATCTTCGTCTGTATCACGTGACTAGTATACTGCACTGCCATTGGTAAGAGTTTATAGTAATTTAACAGTTACTAAACAAATGGAGAAATTTTCATTAGTTAGTTTGCAATATTTGATTTATTATGATTTTCAAGTTTTGACGTCATCTATGTATTTGTATTTATGAAATAGTGATCTCTATCTGTACATTTTGTCTGTTTAGTTGTATATTTCCAATCAGAACTCCTGACGATTAGCCTCAAAATTTGACGGAGGAACTCTGTAGAGTAAGTGGGTGGAGTAAGGGGGTGGACTTTATTGTTTAGTTTCCAGACAAAGCTGTGTTTCCTAACTAGTTTATAATTTTTAAACTAAATTTTACCTCCTTTTGCAACTCCTTTTTAGCAAACATAGCAAGCTCATCTCCAAAAATCTCCTGTGAATTTAACACCTCCTAAATAAGAAAAATAGTGAAGCATGGATCTACAGCTGGAAGCATATTTTTAGAGATTCTAACAAATTTACAAAATAAAGGAAATAAATTTTACCACGAACTCAAGTTTTCTAATCCTTATAATTTTACAACCTTATGCATACATGAAAACCTTTGATATTTAAAACTTAGATCATTTTACATAACATAATTCATAGTTTGAAGTATCTAAGGTCTACGCCATTGGGATGCAATATAGAAATAGGGATTAGAAAATCATAGTTTGTGACAAAAACTAATTCCTTTATTTCTCAACATTAACAGATTCCGTATGAAGTTAATTAATTTATTAATATGATCTTCCTACTAATATTCTTTTACGCATATTGAGTAAAACGCCTTTACTAAATAAAAAAGTTTTAACAAAATTTCGACCGAGATATTTAAATTCTACATCTTTGTACAGAAAACTGTTTTTGGTTTCTTGTTTGGTAAAAATGAGGCCAATGACCAATAACCATACAGTAAAATCTATATATAAATTTGGCTTGTCTGTATGTCCGTTTGTATCCAATAAACGTCAAAACGGCTTAACCGATCGGGGCCAAATTTTATTTTTTGGTTATTTGGTGAGTTAATCTCTAGACCCCACTTAGGAGTTTATTGAGAATATCTGCGAATCTATAGATTCATGGAGTAACTATTTTTACTATATCACTATGTTTACTCAAACAATGTCTCCAGCATATCGTTGGTAAATGTGTTTAAACACTTTAAGGATTTCTAGCATTTTTAACTTCTCCCGGTAAACTGTTCCATAAATTCACTACTCTCTGACTAAAAAATTAGCTCTTAATTCCAGTCTAGATCGCGAGGGCATCAGATTGAGGGGATCTGCAGTTAGACGAGTTAGTCTATGTTCTCCTGACCCGACTATGTTAAATCATGTTTCACTCCTAACATCATCAAAACCATGGATAATCTTAAATGTTTGTAGCATGTCAATATAGATTCTTCTTTTCTCCAGGGATTCAAGTCTCAGTTCTTTTAGTTTATCTTCATAATTTTTACCAGACAGTCCAGATATCATATTAACAGCTCTACGTTGTACCCGCTCTAGTACATTTTTGTATGCAGCTGTCCAGGGACACCACGCTGAGACAGAAAACTCTAAATGACATCTTACATATTGTTTATACAAGTTCAGGAAAACATGCCGATCTCTGAAATGGAATGCACGTGAAATTCAAATTGTTCCCAGAATATAGTTTGCTGTTTTAGCAGCTTCTAGGCACTGGATAGAGGGTTTTAAATCATGTGACACTTTCACTCCAATATCCTTCTCTATTTTGACCTCAGATAACTTAATTCCGTTCATAAAGTATTCATATTTGGGATTATTATGTCCAACATGAAGAATCTTGCATTTAGCAACATTAAATGACATACCCCACAAATCTGCCCATTCACAGGACAGGTTAAGACAGTCCTGTAAATTATTACGATCTTCCTCTGTTAGAATACATTGTGCGAGTTTGGTGTCATCTGCAAACTTTCTCATTATTGTAATAAGTTTGGTTACGGTGTCTATATCATTGATAAATATCACAAAAGCTAATGGTCCGAGTACTGATCCTTGGGGTACACCTGAGAGTACAGGCTCCCAGGTAGATTGTTCTCCCTTTGCCTTCTTTCAGTCAACCACTTGTTAATCCATTAAAGTACATTTCCTTCTATGCTATGAGATTTTAACTTTTGGATCAGTCGGTGTTTGGGCACTTTATCAATTAAATGCTTTTGAGAAGTCTAGATAAATTATGTCCATAGGAATGTTATTATCACTCTCTAGCGTGATTTTTTCCATGAACTCTAATAGATTAGTTGCACACGATTTATGTTTCATAAAACCATGCTGAGATTTATTTAATAGACTATTATTCACTAAGTGGTCAGCAACTTGATCCTTGATGATGGATTCCATTACCTTACATGGTATTGAAGTAAGAGAGATTGGACGATAGTTTCCTGGTTCTTTCTTACTGCCCTTTTTAAAGATTGGTGCGATATTTCCATCTCTCCAATCTTGTGGCACAATTCCACTTGACGTAGATTTATTAAATATCACGGCCAGCGGTTCAGATAGTACATTACTGAAAGTTTTGAGCAGTTTGGAGGACAGGTTATCAGGTCCGGCAGAATTTGAAGATTTCAGATTATCGATCTTAGTTTTAACAGCTCCTCACTGGTAAATAAGATGTCTGAGATTATACTATTGGAGGGGAGTGTATCAAGGTTTGGTATGTGTGGGACCTCACGTTACCCCAGGGAAGATTTATGAATGATCAAAATTTAAAAAACTTGTGTTTACAAGTTTTTTATTTTTGTAATTTTTTTTAAATCTTGAAAATCGGCAAATTTTTTTCATTAGATCTGCGAAATTCTTTTCTTCTTTATTTTTCAATGTTTACAATGAGAACACGTTCACAATTGAAACAGAAGATGGGCGCGAAGCGCCCTAAAAGCCTAGTTCCTAATACTTTTCTAATTTCGTAACTTTCTAATATTTTTCGTGCAAGTTTAAATTTTTACGACTTTTTTGGGGTAAAACAACACATTTACACCCACTGCATGAGGTTACGATCTGGGTCCGCAACATTTTATCTCACCGGATTTAATTGGCAAAAATGCATCCAAAATTTACAAAAAAAACAAATGTGAACTGAAATGACTGTGACGTTCTTTCTTTCTCTCATTGAGGTAAATCAAGTTTCAACAAAAATAGAGTTTTTTGAAATCAGAAACTTTTTTTACAACATTCACGGATTCAGAATCCGGATCTAGATCCGCAGATCCGGATCAAACTGGAACGGATCCTAAGCACTGAAACTCTGTCAGCAAAAAAGAATAATTTAAAGAAAATCTGGAAAGAAAATAAATGTTGTCGAGTCTGAAACCTTTCTCAAGAAATTCCCACAAGCAGTGAACAATTTTAATTTTGTGTGAATAATAAATTTACAATCCAGTTTGTCTAGGACATGATTCATTACCATTGGAAATATACATAATTTGGCAAAATTTTATAAATTTTGCCATCTATGTAGCAAATATCGTAGCAATTCCCATATTTGTAAACCTGAACATACCTAGATATATCACATTGTACATTGTCTGTAAATCTAAATGCGCTTATCATGAACTACGCAAAACTTGTAATGCAATTAACATAGCCTAGCTTCGTCTTTAAATACGTCAAAACCTGTATTCTGCGCTAATCTTGTAAATACGTACTGTAAACTTAACCAGTAACATAGATATCTAAATAAACGTCAGTTGGAATATACTCCACTTTGATTACGGTAAGAGAGTGTCCCTGTTTTCAAATATGGCCGCCATTCTCTATCTTTTAAGTCTAATCATTTTAATTGAAACTAACCTGGTAATCCATTTCTTTAACAAAGGAGTTGTCTTCTATCCCATTCGCCTAAATTATTAATTCAAGTAAATTACTAAATTGGTTTAATAATATAGTTTAACAAAGAACATTGTACATAAATCGGTGTACTGCATATTAAACGTCACAGCTTAGGCTGTAATTAAACAATGCATTAAATGTCAACATATGCTAATGTCAGGACTGAGAACTGTCCTCAAACCATTACTTTCCAATCCTAATATAGGTGCAACGTTGATATTTTAGATCTACTATGAATTCTAGTATTCAAAAGGATTACACTATCAGGTTGCAAAGATGGATTTAAAAATTATTGCATAATTAAGTTGTGGCATTAGTTTAACAGCAGTAAAACTTTTTTAAAATGTAATATACGTCGTTAGTAAACATATTTACCAAACAAATAAATAAAAAAGGTTTCATAAAGTTGTATATTTCACTATATCAATTTATAAACTTATAGATACCAGTACTTAGGAATGTAAACCGGTTTGGCTTGTTTTTAATTTTTTAAGGAAAACTTTAAAAATTTCCAAACTGTATTTTGTTTATATTTGCTTTTAAATAAACCTCGCAATATTTTTATCCTAAAGAAAAAAACAGAAAATAGTTTTTTTGTATATTCTCTGTCAGGGCAAAATTTGGCATAGTGTAAAACAGCAAATGTTCAGAATAAACAAAATTGATTAATAAAATTTGTTAAACTTATCAGATTTTTGTGGAACTTTTTAACAGTAAAAAAAACCCTAAAAAAATAAGCCAAAACCGACTTATTGAACAGTCTTTTTGTTGTTATTAAACAAATCTAAATTAAATGGATTACTTTAAGTGGATATGTATGAGGATTAAATCCGACCTCTATTCCCAGTTTTAGGGACACCCGGTGCAGTGTACATTGTACAGGGAGTACAATGTTTAGGTGTAACCTGTACCGTGTACATATATCATATTCTTACTTAATCTTAGTAAACAAATCTACCATAAAGAATACAAATATAGTATCGAAACTCACATTAAGCAAACAAACCCTCAGGGNCTGAATTTTGAAGATCTGTGAGAAAAAATGAAAAATTAGACATGAAAAGGAATGTTTTTATTTTACTCTATTTTTTCAGTTTCCATAAAAATCGTTTATTTTCCAAAATGTAGCGATTACAACCCTAAAAAATAAACCTAGCTTCTAGGGGAAAAATTATTTTCAAAAGAGGTGGGGAATAATTTTTCAGGAAAATATACACCCCTGCAAAGCCTAGTATGAGGGTAAACATATTACACTAGATAAACAGTGTAGAATAAAGCCTAGTGTACGATGTTGCTACATGCAATAATGTCACAAATTCCATTAACGATGTACTCCTCCCTCCCTATAAACAATGATAAAAATTGTACACACTGATATATCGAAATAAAATATATTTTGTTGAATTTCTGAGTTTATAGACAGGGGGCTCCAATTGTCCCTCAATTTAGCTGGCATTTTTGCTTGCAAAAGCGAACATGAGGACACATCTGAAGGACACACTAATAATGTGATATACAATATTCACACATACATTACAGTTTTATATAATAGTAAAAGTAATTAACTTTTATTATGTTTAATATATTTTTCCCAAAGATGATTTAATAGATAGGTAGATTGTAAATAGCTTCTAACAGACATCTCTTATTTGTCGCTTTTCGAAAATAATTGTTGTTTTATATGACCGATCAAAAGATTGAATATTATTAATAAGCATAAAAAAGCAAATACAATTAAGCAAAGCTTAAAACTTTGTCTCGTCACTTTCCTACCTTTGTTTTACTTACATTGATTAATTTGTTTCATTAAGTACAATACATACAATACATTGTTGTCGGTGCTTTAACGCATGTATATACGGGGTGTCCCACATCATATTAGATCGTTTCTAGCTCTAAATTGGGATTTAAGAGACTAGTCGGAAACATTTAAAAAAACTTAATGTGCGTATTTTGGCGTTAAATCTTGGGAGATAACCCAATATGGTATGGACGCTCTGTAAAGTGATAAATCAACAACATTCCCATCAAGGATAAAATGCGTATTCCCATCTAGGATAAAATGCGTATTCCCATCTAGTTTAAAATGCGCATTTCGAAAAGCATTGATTATTGTTCTATCTCGCAATATCTTAAAATTTCTACTATTCATATTACTTCATCCATCATTTTATATAATAAGGTATAATAATATAATAAGGTTAATAAGGTACTTCTTCTTTATTCGTGAACAACTTCAAATAATTAATGCTTGAAATTCAAGTTACATTTGTAAAGGAATTGAGTCTTTGGAACAAAATCAAATGTTGTAAACTCGATGTTGTAAACCTTTGATATTTCAAACTCAGATTATTAGATCTAACAGAATTCATAGTTTGAAATATCTAAGGTCTGCAACATTTGGTTCCAAAGATATAGTGATTAGAAAATCAGAGTTTGTGGCAAAGACAAAATTCCTTTGGAAAAATTTCACTCTGGGGAACTCTTAAGCGAGGAAGGGAGGGGATAGTTATTTAAATGTTAAGAATTTAATTATCTACAATTAAGTAATTAGTAAATCTAATCTGACACCAGCTTAAATAAGCTAAACACAATTATGTAAATTTACATATATTAAAATATAAAACAGCTCAAGCACAAATAAACAGGTTCAGTAAGGGTTTAGCATATGGTTAAGGACCTGAATCCAAGTGGACAGAAATCAACCAAACCATTGAAAAATACATTTTAAGTGTCAAATTAGAAAAAAGTTATCATTCAAACATTCATAACATCGAATAGAATTTTTGGAGAAATTTAGAAAGTTGAAATAGAAATTAGAAAAACTTGAAAATGTTGGAGATTGCTTGTTTAAAAAAATTTATCATTTTCTAATATTAACATAATGTGCTGGATCCGCTTCCATTTTTTGTACGGGACGGATATAGGATCCGGATCCGCATCAACATGAAGTGGATCCTAAGCACTGGTGTAGTGGTGTACACTAAAAACGTGCAATATATTTGAGTTCTCTGTTGGTTGAATTTAATATATCCTATTGAAAGCTTAGTGCACATCCCTTGGACAATTTACTTGATGTGATCCCATTTTCAGCTCCCCCCCCCCNAAGGTAGAACGATCATAAGGTAGAACAATAAAAGGTAGAATTACAAAAGGTAGAATTACAAAAGGTAAAATTACAAAAGGTAGAACGATCATAAGGTAGAACAACATAAGGTAGAATTACAAAAGGTAGAACGATCATAAGGTAGAATTTCAAAAGGTAGAACGATCATAAGGTAAAACAACAACAGGTAGAACGATTATAAGGTAGAATATTCAAAAGGTAGAGCGATTATAAGGTAGAACATTCAAAAGGTAGAACGATCATAAGGTAGAACAACAAAAGGTAAAATTACAAAAGGTAGAATTACAAAAGGTAAAATTACAAAAGGTAGAATTACAAAAGGTAAAATTACAAAAGGTAAAATTACAAAAGGTAGAATTACATTGATTATAAAACGTCAAAGTTACAGAAAGTTTAGTTTTAACCAAACCTATAACATTTATCTTAAAACTTAAAAACTAGAGAAAGTAATTAGAGTAACAAAGCGTCGTAACAACCCTTATTACAATATTTTAGTCGCAAATTAAATGAGGAATTACAAAATGTTCGTTAAAAGTTTAAAAACAGAGTACTTTCCAAAAATATTTTTGAAGAAAAATTAATACTCAAAAATGAAGAAAAATTTCACCTGAGGTATTAATCGTCTTCTTGCCATAATAACAACAAGGTCCCCAATATCAGCTATGTAGGATATAGTTCGTAGTCCATGGTCCATCATAATTTCCTAATTAATATAATATCATTATATATGCAGTCGAATATTCAGACATTTATTGACAATATTTGTTTCTAAATTCATATTTATATTTTGGCACATTCAGAATTCCGACATACTGTACTTTTTAACAGTGCAATGTAAAATTTACAGTGAGCATGTTGATATGAGTTGATTTTGGCCATTCTATTAGATCCGATTCAAAAGCATTTAGGTCCATGCGGCCGCCAGAAAAAATGTCCGAACATATTAAAACTGTTCTATATCACTGTTAAAATGTCGACACTGACTGGAGTCTGAACGAAGCAAAATCAAACCATTTGAAAATTAGTTCCAGTTTATTTCTCCTGCAAAAGTCGTATAGTAAAATTTGAAAAAACAATTTTGAAAAAAATTAAATCTTTGCCACAAACTCTAATTTGCTTATCTCAATATCTTTGCAACCTGATAGTATAACTACAAACCTTTGACATTTCAAACTTAGATTATTACATCTTTAAAATTTATAGGTTGAAATATTTAAGGACCACGCCATTGGGCTGCAGATATTATAAAATCATAGTTTGTGGCAAAGATTCTAGTGGAAAATGCAAATCAAACCCAATAACCAATAATTTGATATATATTTTCGTAGAACCACTGGATAGCCCAAAAAACATTAAAACCAGAACTACAAGGATGCCCAACACATGTGAAAATATTAGAGAAGAATTAGTGAGAATAAATGTGGTTCTGCCAGTAGTTGGACAGGGGTGTATTTTTTTCGTGACATTTATTCCCCCCCCCCCCCTTTTGCTTCTGCATTGTTTAAAATCAAATTTGAATTGAGGAAATTAATGATTTTTATGGGAAAATCATTGCAACTTAAAGTAAACTGTATTAAAAAGAATGAAAAAATGTTGCCTTTAGATGTCCAATTTTTTATTCCCCCCTCCCCCTATATCATCGAAAATAATTCTGAAAAACATATACACCCCTGTAGTTGGATACAAGAATTGGAATCCTATAATACGAGGATTAGAGGAAGATATATACGTACAAAGTTGGTAATCCTACTATTCAGATAGTTCACCACTGAATGTACATCATGTACAATGTACATTGTAAAATGCGCGTACAATTTACAAATAGACATTTATAAATATACATATATATCCACGATATTAAGAACGATTTTTTAAATAATTTTCATATTTAGACCTCTTAAAGGCGTTTGATTTATCAATGTTTTAATTTTTCTTTCTCAATACTAAAAACAACACCTTGAGATCTGTGTTGAGCACCATAATTTTCTCTGTAGAGATGAATAAATCTACCTCGGTACTAGGCTGTACGTCTCCAGCAGGCGCCTGATTGATTGATTATTAATTAGTAGTTTTTAAATAATCAAATCAAATTTAAATGATAAACCAAGATTCAAAATTATTTATTTTTAGATAAAAGAGCAAGGATATTTTTTTCAGTTAAAGGGAGTGACCGGCAATGGACTGAGATTGCAGTATTGTTGAGAAATTTTTTAGGATTCATTTGAGACTTATCAGATGTTTTTACGGTGCATATTTGTTCAGCAAGAGCGCAAATTCAATATTTAGAATCCTAATTGATTATAAAAACTCTGAATCCTAAAAAATGTCCTAAAAAATTTTCAATAAAACTGCAATCTCAGTTCAAATACCATACAGGTGTTGTTTATCTCGGGATCACATATGTAGACGGATATATCAAATTTCTCTTCAATACCTCGTGGTGGTCGTATTGCAGTAATAACTTTAATTGAGGGAGCAAGTAATGATCCTTAATTTAAAAAGACTCCACATTGTATATGCGTTCAAGATTAACACTAAAGTTTTGACCTTTGAACGGATTTGTGACGTTAAAACTAAAAAAACAGGATGGGGAAAACACATAAACACTTACCATGTTTTTTGAAAAATTAAAATTTTGAAAATATTAATTAGAGATATGTAAAAAATAAAATAAAGTAGAAAAGTGTGAAAACTACGAAAACCAAAATGTTGTATAAACTTTAATAGAAATTCCAGAGAACCTTAAGATTGAATAAGTTTAAACGAACCAAGGAGCTGCCGCAGCAGGAGAGGTTAAATTGTTCACAACTACATAATTTAAAGAAACAGAGCTGGGAACTTAAGAATGGGATACCTTTAATTCCGACTGCTTAATCCGAATATCCAATGTCGACACTTTTGATTTCTTGCATAATCCACTCATTTTTGGATATAGTACAGAAAAAAAAAACAGAATATTCAAAATTAGAGAGCCCCTCCCGTTTCTGTATATTAATCTTAAATGGCGCGCAAAATTTTAAATTTTCCGGCCTCTGATACGCGACTGTGATTGGATGAATTTTATACACTTTTCAGGATACAAGTACAAGATTAGGTTAGTCTCGAGCTTAAGAAAAAGAGAGGATCAAGCATTGATCTCGATATTCACAAGTTCCCAGCTCTGAAGACGTAATTTTAAGTGAACTTTAACTAGGCAACAATGTGGATAATGTCGTCGTTTTTCTATCTGCCCATATCCTTCCTTGCCCCGTTTTTAGAGCAAAAAGAAATAGGGAATTATTAATTTTGCTCAGGCAAAGAGCTACTTAAAATCACGTCGAGTTTCGACAACAAAAACATGCAGTACGTTACATAGCAATGTGTACTTACCAACGCCTGGAGAAAGCAGAAAAAGATGATGTTAGTCAATGTTGTTAATTTAACAGCATTTAAGCTGATCGTGAAAAGACAATATTAATACTAATATTATTATTTGTTGTTCAAGTTTGTACCTTAATTCTTGAAACAGCTTCCTCAGCCTGCATCATACGGGTAGCCTAGATCAATTAATAAATCAATCAATTATGTTTTAATTAATCAAACAAACGATCCATCGATAAGGTAACAAACAGGGAGTAAGGAATAGAAGGGAGATATAACTGACGCGGTTCGCCCTATACCATGTGATTATACATGCTTTGCAGATGGTACTTCATTTGTATAAGATATATTCAAAATAGGATTATTGTATACGCGGTAATTGTAACATTAGACAAATATTTCTTATTCAAATGGAGTACCGTCTGCAAAGCATATGGTAGGGCAAACCGCGTCAGTTATTTAATCAACCAGCCTTACACAATTTTTCAATCATTAATTAATTCAATAAAAAAAGATGAATCCATAATAGGACCTAGACAATTTGATAAAAGGTTCCAATAAGAAATGTTATAATATCAGATATTATTATATGAATCTACAATTATCTTGTTATATGAATGGATACAAAAAAATTCAAAAATCTCTCTGAATTCTGACCTTTGTAGGTTGACCTTCACATACTAGCTGAGTAGATCCTAGGTATCTAGCTCTGAAGAGAACACCCTCTATTAATACTTTAGGATCTGTAACAGGACCTAAAAGATATATTAAATACATATCTTGAAAGGAACTGTAAGCGTGTATTCAAGTGACCCTCCATGCAAAAATGGCAATGCCCTATTTACAACAGTACCCTGAAAAGCTTTGTCTGATAAAGTATGAATTATATCCATTTTTGTTGTTTACTTTAACTGTTTATTTTTAGCTGCGGTTTCTTTGCAAGCGTAACTAGCGCATTTCTGGCTAAAAAGAAGACATTATCATTCTTATATTATTGGATTGGCTGCTACATTAATTAGTTTCATTCTTTGAATTTTTTTTATGAACAAATTAAAGACTTTATTCAAGGCAAACACAAAATTCAACATACAGATCATTTAGGTCGTAATTAAAGTTCTATCCTAGTAACCCTGCATTCTTTAAATATTCAAATAGAGACAGGGCTGTTATATTAAACTTAATAACATGATCTAGACATGTCAAAGTGCGACTTTGCGACTCTTCTAGTTTTGATTTTAGATCCACGAGTGAGAAATGGATTTGGTTGCAAACAGACATCTGAACACTTTTTTATCTCTTCAATAGCTTTTCAAGGATTTATGTCAGAAAAATTTCTAATTTCAAGCTAAAATAAAATTCACTTTAGTAAAATGCAATCCAGAATTTGACTGGGTAGATTGAGTTTATATGAATTTATAAATCAAATATCTCTGTTTATTGAAATGCAATCCAGAATTTGTCTGGGTAGATTGAGTTTACATGAATTTATAAATCAAATATCTCTGTTTATTGAAATGCAATCCAGAATTTGTCTGGGCAGATTGAGTTTATATGAATTTATAAATCAAATATCTCTGTTTAATTGAAATGCAATCCAGAATTTGTCTGGGTAGATTGAGTTTATATGTATTTATAAATCTAATATCTCTGTTTATTGAAATGCAATCCAGAATTTGTCTGGGTAGATTGAGTTTATATGAATTTATAAATCTAATATCTCTGTTTAATAAATGCAATCCAGAATTTGTCTGGGGAGATTGAGTTTCTATGAATTTATAAATCTAATATCTCTGTTCAGATTTAATTTCATAAATACAAATTGTTTCCAAACAAAGGAATTAGATGAAACAGAACCTACTGAAAGGTTATAAAGGATTCATTATCAAATACAGAAACCATTACTTCAACTTTGTTTCTAGAAACAGTAGGATAATAGATTTATAGTTGATACACTGCACTGGAAACTGGACAGGAGGCAATGAAGGAGTAATTATCAAATATTTATACCCAGGGGACATTAGTTCCAAAACTAACACTTGGCCCAATTCTAACACTGAGTGATAGAAATGGGCACAAATTGAAAGACTGGGTTTTTGGGATCCCGGCCCATATCTAGAGTAAAAGTCGATAATAAAAACTTTAACTAACATTTTATGAAACATGACGAGGACAACAATTCCCAATTTCAAACTTTTTTTAAATCAAAATTATATTAGGAGTTCGTTTTATATTAAATCTCTTTACCGTTTTCAAGACAATGTCAGGTTTTCCATTTTCGAACATATCCTGAATTTGGAACATTGTCGCGTTTTTGAGACAAAACCCACTTCACCGTTTTTGAGTATAATCCGCAATTCAAAACAAAACTCACTCTCATAACTTACAAAATAAATCACTGAAAACAAAAATGAAGAATAAATTAACTTCTGAATTATTTCCACATTTCATCTGCTAACTAAAAGAGTATCGATGATTTATTTTCAAGCATTTTAAACAAACAGTTTCCTGCATTTCTAGTTACATATTTATGTAAGAACAAATGATGTTAATATTTTGATTTCTTTTTGCTGTAATGATTTTTAAATCATAACATAACAATTTGCTTTTATTTTCTATTTTGTTTATATTATACCTTATCAAAAATCTTGTTTTGCTACGTAAGTGCGTAAATGCCTAAAAATTTACGTTGATATGAATTCCGGTAATTGTCTCAAAACCAGGATATGTTCCGAAAACGCAACATGAGCTGAAATCCGGTAATTGTTTCAAAAAGGGATATGTTCGAAAATGAAATCAAGAATCATCAAAAACTAATTCTCACACTTTATTATTAGTTTAAAATTGACATTTATTGTTTCAATATGTAGTTTTAGCCATTTTTTATATATATATGGTGTAATTTTGTTATACTCGTCTTGGATTTAAAGATTTATACTCTTGACAAGGATAACTTTGCATATTTGGCCCATTTCTAACACTCAGTGTTAGAAATGGGCCAAGTGTTAGTTTTGAAACTGATATCCCCTGAAACCCCCCTCCCCCATAACAATACTTATACTCCTCCCCACCCTCCCCACCTCCCTCATAACAAAACCTATTGCACCTTGGCCCAAATGTTCTTTGTAATGGAAACACAGTAAAAAGCGAAAATAGGACAATACAACTCAAGTCTAGGTTAACTTTGAAGAAAAGTGCAACAAATCGGATAAAAAAGTTGGAACACTTGAATTACAATAGAGAAGTGTGAAGCAGGCAAACTACCCTTTTTACTTAACCTGATTGCTCAATTCTCTCAGACAAAAGAAAAGGGATGAAAGGAGTAAAAACGCATCAATGCTTCCTGTTCTTTTCAATAAATGTTGTTGCACCCTGATGATTGGCCCGATATCGGAAAACAATTTTCAATGCTCCTCTCTACTCTACCCCTACCATGGATACCATGTACTCATTCTACAAACTCAAAATTAATTGTTCGGATTCTGATCCCCCCCCCCCCCTAAAGGGACTGTAAGCTTAATTAAAATTGACCCTCCATCTCCATGCAAAGACGACAATGCCCTTTTCAAAACGGCACCCTTAAAAGCTGTGTCTAATCAAGTATGAATTAGATATCCATGTGTAAAATATAAAAAAATTTTATTTTCAACTATGAATTCTCTACAAAAGTGACTTGCGCATTTCTAATGCATGGAAACGTATAGGAATTTTAGAATTTAACATTTTTAACCCTAGAAATTTTAATTTTTCTCTTCGAAAATATTTGGAGGTTATATGTGCTTTCTCAGAGTGAAAGATGACTTAACGGGTGATGGGGGGGGCAAGCGTTTTATTTTAAACATTATTAATCAAGCTATACCCCAGTGTGGGTTTTATTCAATCTCCAGATATTCAAAAAAGTTTAAGTGGATGATTTAACTTTCCCCAGATGTTGAGATTAAAATAGAAACTTTTAAAAAATCCTATATAGGAGGAGGAAACAATTTCAGAACTTTACACCAAACTCAATTTAAATATATCTATATTTACTAAATATACTAAATAGCATTGTAATATTATTAATATTAATAATACTAAATATTATTAAGTGTGTGAAAAACATTTCAGTAAAAAATTGAGAATTTTCTTCAAACTCTGATTTTTTAATCCCTATATCTTTGCTGTCCAATGTCGTAGACCTTAGATATTTCAAACTATGAATTCTGTATTCTGACAGATAAAAAATATCAGGTTGCAAAGTTAAAGGATAAGTACGACCTGAGCTGAAAACTTAAAAATTCTCGATTACTTCTTTTATTTATCTTAAGATTAATTTAGTCTTAAATTAATTTCCAAGAAAGTATCTAAAGTGCACCAATCAGAGTGTCAATTGTAAAACCCGAACATCCAACAGAAGCCGAGAAATTTTCAATTTGCGCACGAACAATGAGATAATCCTACTTATCGGAATCCAGCAGTAATATACAAAAGAAAGGATTAAGAAGAAAATCAAAAGTGTCCAAAATGGATACAGAGATTTAGCAATATTTAGGGTATCCAAATCCAATTCAAGAGTTTTCAACGTAACATTTCTATTCAGTTTAGATATAATAATTTTTTTGTGACAGTTAAAAATATTTCTTTATTTTCTATTTTAATATAATACAAGTTTAATCCTACCTTCATTTGTCTTGGAGGATTTCCCCTTGGAAGATTCATTCTGAAATAAAGAATAGTTAGTTATACAGATATAGAACACATATAAACTCTAACTCAGGGGTTTATACAGTTAGCTATACAGATATAGAACACATATAAACTCTAATTCAGGGGTTTATATAGTTAGCTATACAGATATAGAACACATATAAACTCTAATTCAGGGGTTTATATAGTTAGTTATACAGATATAGAACACATATAAACTCTAATTCAGGGGTTTATATATTCTTAAATACTTTTTTTTACTTATTCTATTAGGTTGCTTTTTAGACGCTTAAATTGATTAGTTTAATCAACAAAAAATGTCAAGGAATTAATTGTAAAAGGGTAAGAAATGTTGTAAATTTAAAAGGGAAATCCTGAAATTATATATTCCCCTGTCCCAATTAGTCCAAAGAAGATTACTTGCAGTACTCAGGATTAGTATCAGAACCCAGGGATGGTGCTCAACATACTCAACAAGAGAATATTCCAAAATCTACATTTCCCAAATTTACGTTCTCTCGCATTTACATTTTCCCGCATTTACAGTTTCCCAAATCTAAATATTCCAAAACAAAAATACATTTAACAAGTCCACATATTCACAAAACTACATTTTCCTACCTCTACATATTCTCGAAATTACCATAATATCTTATGTAAGAGATTTTTCTTAAAACCTTATTCTCCTTAAAAAGGGCCAAACAATACATTCAGGAGATTTTGGGATAATGTGGTTCGTGAAAGTTAACGATAGTTTCTGAAGTTCTAATCGAGAAGGTATCCGATCCGAACTACACTTTTTGCCTATCCTGTATTTTAATCTTTAAAAAATGCAGATCATCTTGTGGATAAATAAATAAAAAAAACGTGTTTTCATTTGAAATTTTATCCCTAAAATTATTTAATTTAAATTCTATTTTAGAATTGTTGTGCCGTATTTTTAACTGAGAGTAGAAGATATGTTTAATACGATAATTTTAAATCAATGATTCTTCAAATATTATCTCACTTTGCGTAAAAGAGTAAAAATACAGAAAATTTTTCTGAGATAAAACCTTTTCTAAAAAATATTATTTGATTAGTAAAATATAGTATTTACGATGCATGCAATTTTATTTTCATGAAAATAGTCGGAATTTGGTAAGGGACTTCAAGCTTATTTTCAAATAACCCTCCAGGCAAAGATGGCATTGCCAGATTCAGAACGGTGTCCTTGAATCCTTTATTTGATCAATAGTTTGACAGATGTTTTCATTTTTATAGAGTTAAACATGTTCTAGATTTAAAAATGTTCAGTTTAAAAATTCCAATTCGTTTTCCTACAGTAGAAAATGTCCACGTCACTTTTATTTAAGAATGACAGAAAAAAGTCTTTTAAATTTTCGACGCCGAATCTATCAGTTGTGAGAAAGGGGGGGGGGGGTATCCAACCGTATTGTTGTATATTAATAAGGTGGAACAGGTTTGCTTTTATTACGTTCTATTTATCCCTAAATGTTGATTGCCTTTAATACAATATGTAGTTGAGATAAGCCTTTAGCTTAACCAACACTGTTTGAGGTTAGATTAACGTAGATGATGTAGAAGGAAGAGGAGGAGGGGGGGGGGGAATAATCTAAAAAATAAAAAACAAATCGTGTGTTCAAAAGTACGAAAATAAATGCTGGAAAAAAATGTTAAAAATATGTTTTTACTTTCTAAAAAATAGTTGGATGTGGAAAGCCTGACACTGAAAATGTTTCAAAATATTCTACAAAGAATTAATAAATCCAATAGATTGATAGATAGATTGATCTTCACCAGGTTTTTCATGTAACCCTGTAACATATGGAGAGAACGATTTTATCCTTCCAATCAGAAAATAGACAGATATATATAATATATATAGAGAATATCTAGCAAAGATTTATCTAGAAATATCTTGAGTAATCAAACATAACTAAACCTATCTAGAACATCTAGAAATATCTTGAAAAATCTAGAAATATCTTGAAAATCTAGAAATATCTTGAAAAATCTAGAAATATCTTGAAAAATCTAGAAATATCTTTAAAAATCTAGAAATATCTAGAAAATCTAGAAAAATCTTGAAAAATCTAGAAAAATCTTGAAAAATCTAGAAATATCTTGAAAAATCTAGAAATATCTTGAAAAATCTAGAAATATCTTGAAAAATCAAGAAATATCTTGAAAAATCAAGAAATATCTTGAAAAATCAAGAAATATCTTGAAAAATCTAAAAATATCTAGAACATCTAGAAATATCTTGAAAAATCTAGAAATATCTTGAAAAATTTAGAAATATCTTGAAAAATCTAGAAATATCTTGAAAAATCTAGAAATATCTTGAAAAATCTAGAAATATTTTGAAAAATCTAGAAATATCTTGAAAAATCTAGAAATCTAAAACAATGTAGAGACAATGTACCGCAGAAAGTGAGAAGAAATGTAAACAGTGCAGAACACACAACTGTGGAACTAAAGGGGATGGTGGAGTTGGCACATTTGATGTAGGGGGGGGGGGCCCTGCCTTCATTTTTGGTTCAAATCTTCCAATTTTTTGGGTGCACGCCTAATTAGTGATCGAAATTCCTAAAATAAAATAAAATTGAATTTTAATGACCTCTAATGACCTCTAATGACCTCTAATGACCTCCAGAAATAGAAAATATTTCAACTATGGCTTTATGCACATCAAACGAAAGCTAGAGACCCAGGGAATACAGTGGCAGCAAAAAATCCAGCGTTTGACCTTCTAATGACCTCTTACGACCTCTAATGACCTAAAT